CTATCCCCATCCCCCTCTCCTCCTCCCCTTCCTCCTCCGCAAATGCATGCTAGCCAGCACGGGCCCCTAACAGCGGCTTCTTGAAATCTACGCTGTGCAATACACGTGGTGCAATTCATTTCTGTTCGCAGTTAGTTGTCACCTCCACTGCTCGCGCAATCACCCCACCCGCCCACCCGCAACTTGGTTTGCAAAACCCATGCGGCGAAAATTGCGATGAGCGCTTGGTGATAAATGATGCACCTCTGTGGCCGCGCTAGCCCGCGCCTGCTCGCGCGCCCGGCGGCCAGCGAGTTTGACGCGACCGACGCGGCCGCGGTGGCGCTGACCGCTGGGCACATCCCAGCGGGCACTTCACTACGAGTCGGCGACTTGGGCGGGCGCGGTATCACGGCAACGTCGACAATGGTAGACACGATGATGATAGTAGCGGTGCTGGTGACGATGATCACAGCTGCGACGGCACGGCCAGTGCCGGCGCCCATGCTGATCACGCCAACGACGATGACGGCGTCCCCGCGTCGGTGATGACGGTTTTGGAAGGAATTCGGCATGCGCGCGCGGCCGACGTTCGAGAGCGGACCGCATGGTATTTTTTGACACGGGTCGTGACCCCCAGCACGCGCGCAAAGGCGTTCGAATGATTTCGGCATGCGGCGCGAGACGCCCATTTGGTCGAAGTCCATGATAATTTCGAAAACCGATGGTTTTCGTAAGAATTCGCAAGAGCGCGAGCGCAGGCTATGTTGAAACCTGGTGTTGCGAAGCCATGTGCCTTTATTTGGTTTCAGGACACTCGGTTTTGAAAACCCTTGCGGAACCTAGAATGTTTGCCGGATTGCGGCATGCGCGCGCGACGGCGCGCGCGTGTGCGCTTCGTCCTGTTTCTATTGCAAAGGTTCTTGCGACAGCACGCGCGCAAGGGCGTTCGAACGATTTCGACATGCGCGCGCGAAGCCCATTTGGTAGCATGCTATGAACACGCTAGGAAAAAGCATGGCGTCCTTAAGAATTCGATAGAGCGCCAACGCAAGCTTGTTTCATGATCCTTCGCGCGAAACCACGTGTTCCCAACCATCCTGTGGTGTTGGGTCCTAGTTTTGAAGGGACCGCGCCCCGCGTCTCCTCCTCTCCTCCTCCTCCCCCTCCTCCCTCTGTGTCCGTCTGCCTCAGGCAGTATGCAGGGACCGCCACCAAGGCCAGCGCTTCGTAGCCCCATAGGGAGCTCCACCCACGGCTCCAGTGGCACAAGTCGCATGAGCCAACGCCACCCAGGACAGCGATTCGTGGTCCCACAGGGAGCTCCACCGAAGGCCCCAGTGGCAGGGTCCGCATGCGGGGACCGCCACTCATTTCGGCACACCCCTCAAACGCTTCGTGGCCCCACAAGGAGCTCCACCGAAGGAGGGTCCGCATGCGTCAACGCCACCAATTTCGGCGCACCCCTCACACGGTTCGTGGCCCCACAGGAAGCTCCACCAAAGGCCCCAGTGGCAGGGTCCGCATGCGGGGACCGCCACCCAGTTTGGCACACCCCTCACACGGCTCGCGGCCTCACAGTGAGCTCAACCGAAGGACCCAACGGCAAGATCCGCATGCGGGGACCGCCACCCAGTTTGGCACACCCCTCACACGGTTCGTGGCCCCTCAGTGAGCTCCACCCAAGGCCTCAGTGGCAGGGTCCGCACGCGGGGACCGCCACCCACTTTGGTACACCCCTCACACGGTTCGTGGCTCCACAGGGAGCTCCACCGAACGCCCCAGTGGCAGGGTCCGCCTGCGGGGACCGCCACCCAATTTGGCATACCCCTCACACGGTTCGTGGCCCCACAGGGAGCTCCACCGAAGGAAGGCCCCAGCGGCAGGGTCTGCATGCGGGGACCGCCACACATCTTGGCACACGTCTCGCACAGTTCGTGGCCCCCCACAAGGAGCTCCACCGAAGGCCCCAGTGGCAGGGTCCGCATGCGGGGACCGCAACCCATTTGGTACACCCCTCACACGGTTCCTGGTCCCACAGGGAGCTCCACCGAAGGCTCCAGTGGCAGGGCTCGCATGCGGGGACCGCCACCCAGTTTGGCACACCCCTCACACGGTTCGTCGCCCCGCAGGGAGCTCCACCGAAGGCTCCAGCGGCAAGGTCCGCATATGGGGACCACCGAAGGCTCCAGTGGCAGGGTCCGCATGCGGGAAACGCTACTCATTTTGGCACACGCCTCACACGGTTCGTGGCCCCACAGGGAGCTCCACCGAATGCCCCAGTGGCAGGGCCCGCATGCGGGGACCGCCACTCAATTTGGCACACCCCTCACACGGCTCGTAGCCCCACAGGGAGCTCCACCGAAGGCTCCAGCGACAGGGTCCGCATGCGGGGACCACCGAAGGCTCCAGTGGCAGGGTCCGCACGCGTCAACGCCACCCATTTCGGCACACGCCTCACACGGTTCGTGGTCCCACAGGGAGCTCCACCCAAGGCCCCAGTGGCAGTGTCCGCATGCGG